CTCCTCAGCCCTCCTCCCCTCTTCTCCTCAGCCCTCCTCCCCGCCACTCCACCTCTAGTCCCCTCCTCTCCTCACCTCTCCTGTTATCTCTGCTTTCCCTTGCCGCCAGCGAACCCGGGGACACAGAGGCCGAGTCCGCCTCACTTGTCGTTGAGGAGGCCACCGAGGCCCCGGAGCGCAGGCGGAGGCCGGCAACACCCAGCCAGCCCTGGTCGCCTCTGGAAAGCGCCGGTCCTAGGCCCTGGGGTGACATCGGAATCGTCCTCGAGGTCCCTGGGGGACCCAGTGCCGGGAGCACAGTTCGCAAGCGGTGAATTATTTGGAGAATAACGCCCACCCTGGCCCTGCCTGAATTCCAGCCTCAGCTGGGTCACCCACCCGGTCGTGGTCTTACACAATAATTAGGGGAAGGCGACGTGAAAATGGGTGATAGGCAAACGTTTTACCACTGACCTACACCCATATCCTTTTTGTTTACATTTTAAATCTTATTTTTATATTTGTTTGTTTGAACACAACAGTATTGAGTATTTTTGTTTTGTTTTTTCTGCCTTCACATTGGGCTCCATCCCCAGCTCTTTTTACTTTTTTGAGACAGACCGTGGCTCATTTGCCCAGCTAGCTGGAACTTACAGCCCTTTTGCCTCAGCCACCCAGAGTCCTGGGATTATAGACACATGCCACCATGTTGGACCTAATTTATATTCTTAAAAAGACCAGTAGGTAGGTCCAGGGATTTAGCTCACTGGTGGTGCCGCTGCCTGCTTCGCAAGCGGGAGGTCCTGAGTTCTATCCCTGGTACCAGGAAAAAAAAAAACAAAGGGCCAGTAGGTAGAGAGTTACCAGGATAGGGTGAGAGGAGAGTCTTAACAAGTAGAAGGCTTTGGGGGATCCAGAGCTGGGAAGATGATGGCCTGGATTTAAAGGCTGACAGTAGAGATAGGAGTGGAAATATCTAAAATGGAGCTTAGAGAGGTAAGAAGATTCCATAATGGATTGAACAGTGAGGGATGGAGAGGAAGAAATCAACATAAAGTACCTGAGTCGTTGGTGGTGCCATGCATTAAACGAGGAAACTAGCAGGAAAGATAGGTTTGGGAAAGGGAAATGAAGTGTTCTGCCTAGGGATTTAAGGCACAATGTGAAATTGTTATCCAGATACATGGATACTTGAGCCTGGAGCTCAGATGATGAACACAGGCTAGGAAAGAGAATTTAGGTATGAAGATAGTATTTATAGCGCTAAGAATGAAAGATGGGCTGAGAGTATATAGCTCAGGCAAGATGAGTTCAATTCCATCAGTTAAGATTAAAAAAAAAGAAAAAGTCTGAGGAATATGTTAGGGGGCTGAGAACAATGCTTAGAGATGAGGAAAAGGGAGGACCTGTTCAGTAGATAGGGTTGGCCAGAGAGGCAGGCAGACACCAAGAGAGACCTAAGAAAGTACATTGTTTCAAGCCTTCAGATACGCCAAAAATATTTGAGAGAAGGGCAACACACAGCTCAGTCAGAGAAATTGTACGTGAACTTGTCATAGGAGTGACAGTGGGATGGGACAGATGGAGAATAGTACATGCAGGTAAGTCTTTCCAGAGGTTGTAGGGTGGTAAATTGGCACAGGGGCATGGGTTAGAGGAGTGAAGAGATCTCTTTGTGTAGGATTGATGCAGAATCCCACATTTATACTTTTAGGAATGAAGCCGTAGAACGTAACAGGTCTGAGATCCCAGTAGAGTTGGTGTTGTGACATACCTCTGTAATCCCAACTACATAGGAGGCTGAGACCACAGGATGGGAAGAGGCCAGCCTGGACATCAGCAAGTTCCTCACTTCACAAAAATGAAAATAACGGGGCTGGGGACATGGCTCAGTAGTAGAGCACTTGCTTAGCATGTGTAAGGGCCTATACTGGAGGGACAAAAGGTAGGGAAAAAACTAAAACTATAACCACCAGTTTGCTGTGCTGGTGCTTTGGAAAAGGAAATGAATAAAACTGTTGGCAGCCATTTATAAATTATTAGAAAGTAGAAATGCTGAAAATTTAAATTTTCAGCTATGTAGGTTTATAACCCCTTCTAAGAACTTTTGAGTTTTTCTATTTACATTGTGTATTTGTTGCAGGTAGCCTGGGAATATAAGGGAGTGGGTTTTCCCCTTCAGCATCATAATTGGGGAAGATAAAAGCCATGAATATCACATTTGAACTCTTTGTTCTCAGATGTATCTTAAGTTCATCAAAAAGTGGCAGTTCAATACAGACAGGAAGGCTTGATTTTTTAGCCGAGGAATGCAACTAAATTGGTTAAGCAGTCTGTTTAGGAAGGAAATAAGTTCGGAAAAGGCTATCCTGGAGGGGAATTTGCTACCATGGCACTTAGGGTACTCAAAGCATCTTTTCCTATAGTCCTTTCTGTTCCTGACCCTCTGTGGCCAAGTACTGGTAACCTGATGTAGTCAACGTGGTGCCTGAGATATGAGAGGCGTGGCCGCGGCCAGGCTAGTGAAATGGAGATTCCTGAGTTCTAGTGGAGCCTCATTAATTAGGTGATAAATACTAATATTGAATAGTTATGAACTCTTTCAAATAAAATTTAATGCCACAAAATTCTAGCATTCCTGGAGCAATGGAGAAAGGCCCTGGGTTGTATTGTGATGGCTTTGACTTCCGTAGTGGACACATTCATGGCTTCTATTTTAGGTACTAAAATCACAGGCTGTGGAGGTCAGTTATAGAGTCAGGCACTGGCTTTGGTGTAGGGTAACAGAACAGTAAATGTGCCTTCCTCTGAAGTTGCCAGTGTTGCTGTTAAGAGGCACAGATATATTTTCTCCCCAAAGTGGTTGAATGCATATGCATGACAGTTTCATAGAAGCTCCTCATTGGGGTGGGGGACAACACAGCAATTTGCTTGCTGGGAATTGAGCCCAGGACCTTTGCACTGAGCTGCATCCCTAATTTCTCTTCCTCCTCTTCTTCCTTTTTGTTCTTTTTTAATTTTGAGACAGGATCTGACTAATCTTGAATGTGGAATTCTGCCTCAGCCTCGCAGAGTACTGAGATTACAGGCATGCCTAGCTAAATTCCTGATTTGTTGAGATGGTGGTTTTCATTTTACTAGTTCAATAAAAGTTTATAATTATCTACAGTACCAGCTTCTTGTTCCACCCTTCATACTAAGGCTTGTGGGAACTTACAAATTTAAGAAACAAAACTTACCACTATAGCAACAAAAATTAAGGAGATAATTGCTTTTGTCCCTCCCAGCCCCACTAACTTTATTGTGAAATTGCAGATCTATTAGGAATGCTGCACAAAGGAATCTACAATTTCCCATGGTTTCTTTTTAATCTCTATTTTAGCAAGTACTTCTAAGAAAGAAAATGTTTTGCATAACCACATGATGGTTTAGAATGCAGGAAATGTGACCTTAGCCCAAAATTATCATCTAACATCTAGTCCATAGGTTACTTCCAGTCAGGGTTCATGACCCATGTTGAGTTGCTGTTGCATTTTGAACAGGGCCCCCTTCTTAAATAGTGTGAGCATTTTGTTAATGAGTCCAGAGCAATTGTTTTGTACAGTGTCTCTACTTAGGTTTGCCTGATTGGTTTCTTATATTTAGATTCAAGTCAAATCATGGATTACATCTTAAAGTAGACTCAAACTAAAATGTCCACATAGTTCTGGATCTGAACTACAATATCCTCCATTCAGAGGAATTAATGACGTGAAAAGAGACAACATAATATGAATTTTAACTGTATTATACTTAGTCTTAAAGACAACAGAGATAAACCAGATGTGGTGATACATACTGGTAATACTGGCACTTTTGAGGCTAAACAGGAGGATCCCGTTTGAGCCCAGCCTGGAGAACTAAGCAATTTAGCACTGTGTTAAAATGAAGAGGAAAAAATAATAAATGGGGTTGGGGATATAGCTCAGCATGAAGGCCTTGGGTTCATTCCTCTGTAACATACACATGCACACATGGAAGAGAGCAGGAAAGGAGAGGGGGGTATACTGTAAGCTACCCTGGATCCATTTGTGTGCCCCCTCCCCCAACTCCTTCCTGCTTTGGTAGCACTGATCAAGAGTCAGAGTGAGCCTCTCTTCCACAGGTTTCCTTTGTGATCTGCCTCATTGCTGGCCTCCTACCAACTCCCTGCCTCCATCAGGGACCCTGACCCTCTTATCCCCTGTGATCAGATCTGTGATCAGGATGAGTTCTTCACCCTCGGAAGAAACAAATGCCTGGAGTTCCCTTCAGGCTGATGAGCCCAATGACTCCATCTACCGGTTTGTCTATACCTGCACTGAGTGCAAGGAACAAGTGGACACACACTGGCGCTGTACAGTCTGCCAGGTAGGCACCAGGTCATGGGACGGAAGGGTGGGTCCTGTGGGTCTTCCTAGAAACATATTACACAGGCCACTGAGGTGAGACAACCTGGTCTTGTGTTGAGTGGCAGAGTTGAAGGTGCTACTTTTGTTCTGTAAACAGACGTGTCTGTTCCCCCACCACACAGTTGGTTGAAGCAGGAAGATCATGACTTTGAGGCCACCTAGGCTACACAAGGAAAACCTGTCTCCGAATAAAAAGGGCACTTTTTGCAGGGGTGGGTACCAGGGATCAAACTCAGGACCTTGTGTTTGCAAGGAAGGCTCAGTGCCGCTGAGCTAAATCCCCAGCCCCAGAGGGCACTTCTCTAACCCAGCCTTTGGAATGAGAAAGTTTTGAGTCGCCTTTATCTGCTGTGTTTTTCTGCAGGAGTATATCCTGTGTGTCTCCTGCTATCCCAATAAGAACCATGACCACCCAATGGAGAAACTGGGACTTGGCTTGGATGATGAGAGCAGCAAGCAGCAGCTTGGGGCTGCCCAGAACCCAGGAGAATCTTGCTGCCTGAGCATCCAGCGCAACATCCAGTCCCTGCTCCATGCCTGCCAGTGCCGTAATGCCAACTGCTCCCTGCCCTCCTGCAAGAAGATGAAGCGGGTCATCCAGCACACCAAGGGCTGCAAACGGAAGAACAGTGCTGGATGTGCAGTGTGCAAGCAGCTTGTTGCACTCTGCTGGTACCATGCCAGGAACTGCCCAGAAGACAACAAGTGCTTTGTACCCTACTGCTTCACCATCAAGCAGAAGCTCCAGCAACCACAGCTGCAGCTCAGGATCCAACAGGCCCTGATGCTGCGCAGAATGACGGCCAGCACCGATCCAGACCCTCTGGTCCCCTGTGATCTCAATGATGCTCAGGAGGCGGGAACAAGTGCCCGGAGCTCTTTTCATTCTGAGCCCAGTGGCCCACCCCCTGTGTTGCGGAGGAGCAGCACCCGCAATGTCCCCTACATCTGCAGTGAGTGTAGGCAGGAAGTGGAGACACGCTGGCGCTGCACTGTCTGCCAGGTAGGCAGCCGGTCATGGGAAGGGGGTGATGGACTTGTGAGTCCCAGTCATGTAATGAGTGACCCAGAAGAGTATTATGGTGGCTGGTGGGAGGGGAGAGTCTGGCTAAATGTTTGAATTCCAGAGCAGAGCAGGCTAATCAGATCTTTTAAAAAGCGCCTTTTAGCTGCGTATGGTGGTGCACACCTGTAGTCCCCAGCTCTGAGGAGGCTGAAGCAGGAGGATCACAATTCTGGCCAGCCTCAACTGCATAACAAGACCCTGTCTCCAAAAAAAAACAATTTGTTTTCACTCAGTATCTAAAATGCTTTTTCAGTGATTAAATCCTAAGGGTTGACCTGCACTTCCTGTGTTCTTTCCCCAGGAATATGTCTTGTGTGTCCCCTGCTATTACACTAAAAATCATGACCACAAGATGGAGAAAGTAGGTCCTGGTGTAGATGGTGAGAGCAGCAACCAGCAGGGTGCAGCCATCCAGAACCCGCGAGATATTCACCGCCAAAGGATCCAGCGCAGCATCCAATCTCTGATCCATGCCCGGCAGTGCCGTGACTCCACTTGCTCCATGCCAACCTGTAAGAAGATGAAGCGAGTTGTAGAACATACCAAGAACTGTAGGCGAAAGGCAATTGGTGGGTGCCCCGTCTGCAGGCAGCTCATTGCCCTCTGCTGCTACCATGCCAAGCGTTGCCAGGAGAATAACTGCCCTGTGCCGTTCTGCTTCAGAATCAAGCAAAAGCTCCGGCAACAGCGGCTGCAACGCCAGCGGTCTAGGATGGTGCGCAGGAGGATGGCCAGCATGTAGCTTACCTGTGTAGTGGGGCAGCAACAAGGCCTGCCCTCCCCCACCCCTGCCACTCCAACCTCGGCAACCACACAATAGCTAACAACCCTGCAGCTCACCCCTTCCAGAAACAGCCCTGGTGACACTCCAACCTCTTTACTGATGCTTGGCCACTCCTGTCAGTGCCCCCATCTACAGCATTAGAAATGACAGTGCAGATTCAGACAGCAGCCGAGACACTGTAAATTGTGCAGAGGCCAGTCCAGCACCAGATGCCCCTCATGAGTCCCGTGACCCAACCTTCCTGCCACAACCAGAGGTCCCAGTGGGCATCTGGGCCCAAGGAAGACTGCCTAATCCCCAGCAACTCCAGTCCAGGGTGCCAAGGCCAGCTATGACGTCTGTGGCCCAACAGAGGAAAGCCCTTGAACATGGCTCCACGGCCAGGATCAGGCCAGGAAGGTAGGTGTGACCACTCAAACCAGGCACTGTGTCTCAACAAGCCTTACAAAACCTGCAGACACTCGGGCCTCCCAGCTCTCCCCTACAGCAGCAACCCTTGTGCCCACCCCAAGCTGTTGGTTACATTCACGAAACAGTGGGATCCACACATGCCAACTCTAATCCAGCCTCTCACTGGACAGCCTAGCATGGCCCCATGGACAGCCAGAGGTGCAGTCACCAGCCATGCCAGGTCAGCAGGGCGTCTGTTCCAGTCCAGCCATGTAGAACATGAGTCCCATGCAGGCAGGCGTGCAGAGGGCTGGTCTGGCCCAGCAGCAGCCTCAGCAGCAACTCCAGCCACCATGAGAGTTGAGACCCCAGGCCCTTCCAGTGGATGTGAACACAGCAGCCTGTCTTCTCAGTTGTGGGACATGTTGAGACAACAGCAGGTGATGTGGCAGCAGCAAACAGAATCACATGCAGCAGATGCAACAAGAGAACGTCGGACAGATGGGGCAGCACAGTCCCCCCTCCCAGGCCTTGGGAGCAGAGAGGTAGGAGCCTGTCTGTAGGCCTATCAGAAGCGACTCCAGCAACAGATGGGGTCCCCTCACCCCAACCCTGTGAGCCCCCAGCAGCACATGCTCCCAAGCCAGGCTGAATTCCAACACCTCCAAGGTGATCCCTAGTTCTCAACAATCAAGTGCATCCCTCTCCTGCCCATCCCTTTTTGTGGCTACAATTTCAGATGCCCCCCATCCTGTCCCCAACCCTGAGGATACAGCTTCAGCTTTCTCCACACCATGTTTCCCCACAGACCAGTTCCCCACGTCCTGGTCTGGCTACTGCCCAGGCCGCCAACCCCATGGAACAAGGGCATTTTGCCAGACCAGAATCCGATGCTCTCAGCTTGCTAGCCATCGAGGCATGGCAAACCATGGTGCAAGCACCATGGACCTGGGACTCAGCACCGATAGCTCAGATTGAATTCAGATCTCTCACAAAATAACACCAGACCTCTTCAGATACCTGGTTGTATTTTGGGAGCAGAAAATTATTTTCTCTTAAAGACTTTTTGAACTGAACACAGTTTTTTGGAATCTTTCTTAGCCTATGAAACAGTTTTTCCTTAGGATACCTAAAGAACTGTGCAGTAGTCATTTGTGGAGGTTTTTTAATTTGTTTTCATTTCATTTGCAGTATTGGGGGATGAACCCAGGGCCTTTGCACTGAGCTACATCCCCAGCCTAGTTACCATGTTTTGTAGCCAAGTCTCAGTAAGTCACTGAGAAGTTGCCCAAGCTGGGCTCGAATTCATGATTGTCCTCCCTCAGCCTCCCAGGTTCCTGGGATTCAGGCGTGCCACTTTGCCCAGTGCCATTTGTGGTTTAAAGCAAACATGCTAGGTGAGCCTGAGGGATGCTAGAGTACTAGGAATATATTTCTTCTGGCTGCTTCCCCAGCCTTTTTCCCCCCTTGGGTGTGTGCTTTGTGTGTGTGGGTGTGTGCTTTGTGTGTGTGTGTGTTTGTGTGTGTGTGTGTGTGTGTGTGTGGTGTGCTCTGGGAGGAGGCTGAGGTCAAGCCCCCATATGCTCCTGTGTTGCACCTCTAATAGGTTTTATTAGTTTTTTAAAATTAAAGAGAATATGTAATATCAATAGTTATTATTTACTGGTTCAGAAGGTGGAAATTTTCCTTTCTTCACTTTATGGAAGAATTTTTAAAAATTCTAAAACCAAAGTACAGCAGGGGTTAATGTTACTTAAAAATATATATTCCACATACATAATCATTAAAATGGCAGTTTCTCCGAGTGCTAAAATACTCATTTTTTAAAAAGTTTTTGGTGTGATGGTCAGGGAAAAAAATTTTCCCCTTTCCTCCCCGAGTCAATTTTTGTGCTCCAGAAAATTTTCTATAAGCCCGAACGTAAAACTTTAAGTATTAAAATAATTTGTGCATGTAGAGGAAAATTTTTAAAAATAGAAGCAACTGCCAAATTGATGTATTATAAATAGTGGTTTCTTAAAAATTTTGTTATATATCTCATAAAGGAAAAAAATGAAAAAGTAAGTCACAAAGTCTCCGTGGGGTTTCTTGTTTCCCTTCCTCCTCCTCCTCCTTTTCCTCCTCCTGCCCCCCAGCCCCAAACACAGTATCTCGCTTTCTGTAAAACTTGAAAATAGCAGATTCTTCAACTGTTGTAAATCTTGCAATTAAAGTTGATTGCTTATAGATACAAGCTTTGGATCGCTGTATAGCCTGTCCAGTTTGATTTCTTATTACCTGTTGTTCAATAAACTGTGTGAGACAAACCGAGGCTCTGACTCATTTCTTGAGGACACATCTTGGGCCCAGACAACACCGGTGTAAGACCTTCTTGCTTAGGAGTCCCTGGAAAAAGGAAATAGCTCACAGCAGCCTTAGCAGTTGCACGTAACCAATTACCAAATGCACTTTGGTAAATTTGTCCAAAGTTTGGGGAATTGCCCAAGTCCGGTTCTCCCAAGTACCAGCCAGATGTCAAGGTGGAAGGGACATCAGCCATTTCACACCTCGACACAGGACCTTGCTCTGTGCTCCTCTGAGTGATGTCAAGCTCTGATCACCCTCGGCTCCCAGGGAGGCCAGGGAGTACCCAGGACCATCATCCTGCCCAGTCACAAGGAGCTCCTGGCAGACCAGCACAGAGGCCAGGTCAGTGTGCTCCTCCCCGGCACACTAACTGTGTCACCTGAGGGATCAGGGGAAGGGAAGTGTGTGCAGATAAGTCCTAGACAGCTGAGATGAGCTCAGGAGAGCAGTGTGTGCCGGGTGTGAGCACTCCGTGAATGCTGCAGAGGCCAGGAGCAGGGTTTAGAGCCAGAGCGCGGCTACTGATCATATTGGCATCAGCTGCCTGCCTGCCTTGCCCTTGTTGCCCTCACCATATACAGCACAGATCGGTGCCTGGGCCTCAAATCAGCCAGGCCTAGGACAGAATGAAGCTTAAGCAAGACCAAGAGCGAGTGACAAATGCGAGCAAGACAGAGCAAGCACTGAGTGACAAGGATGCGGGAGGCCTGGGAGCAGGCTGGCTGGTGGGGGTTGGGAAGGGTTCAGGAGAGCAGAGCAGGGAGGCTGGGCCTGGAGGGGAGCTGGTGGGGAGGGGCAGAGGCGAGGGGGAGCTCAGCCCAGAACAGCAAAGAACCAGACCCCAGTGGGGGCAGCTGCAGGTGCACTGGGCGTGGACCTCATGAAGGGCAGGGGTGAACACCTGTGTAGGACAGAGGGCCAGGAGTGACCTGACCTAAGTCTTCAAATGTGCTGTGTTTGATGCCTGAATCATGAAAGGGACTGATGGGTGCCAACAGAGTTCCAGGTGCTTTGCTGATTTAGATTACAGCATCCTCCATAACAGCCCCACATAACAAGTGAAAAACAAGCTGAGTGGAATAATTCTCTCAGGATGACTCAGCCAGCTAGGTGTAGGCTCATATTCCCAGGTTCTTAGGAGGCTGAGTCAGGGGGATTGCATGTTTGAGGACAGCCTGAGCAATTTCTCCAAACCTTGTCTCAAAACAAAAAGGGCTAGCAGTAAAAAGGGCTGGAGATATAGCTTAGCATTCCTTGGATTCCATCCCCAGTGCCAACCCCCCACATCAAAAACATCCCAGGAGTGCCAGTGACTCACAGAGGGAAGGGTCTGAAAAGAGGGCATTGGGTCCATGAGGAGAAGGGATGACTTGAAACAGCCAAGAAAGAGCCCTCTGGCTGTAGCTTGAGCTTGAGACCCAGGAGCTTCCAGAGCGCTGGCCACTGTTGCTAAGCAACCGGTGTTTAATAAAATGTAAGATGGTTCAGCTGGATTCCTAACAACAGCCATTTCAACTCAGGCTAATGGCTGCTGGCCCCGTTTCTTTCCTTCTCCCAAAGCCTCACCCTTTCCAACTGTGCTACTGGAAAGCTCAGGTTTCTACTTTCTTATGCTTTTGATGTCCTTGTTTGTACTAGTGTGAAAAGTAACACATCACAGAGAAGATAGATTTCAAGACTCATTCCGTTTTTGTTTTTGTTTGAGATAGGTCCCTGCTATACAGCTCAGGTTGACCTTGGACTCACTATGTAGCCCAGGTTGGCCTTGAACTTGTGACTATCCTCCTGCTTCAGCCTCCTGAGTCCCGGGATTACAGGTATGTGCTACCATGCCCAGAAAGACTCATTCACTCTTAAACCCACCACACATGATTACTCAAATAATTCTCAAATCTTTCCACTCTTTTGTATGCCTCCTGTTTCTACTCTGGCTAAGCTACCACAATCATTTACCTGGATCTACAATAACCCTCTCCTTGCTCTGGCGCACTCTCTTCCTCTCTTCCTTCCACCCTCCCCAGTACTGGAGAATAAACCCAGGTCCTTCGCATTAAGTCACTAAATTGCCCAGTCTGGACTCAAACTTTCAATCCTCCTACCTCAGCCTCCCAGGGACTACAGGCAAGCCCGCCCCCCCCTCCAGCTCTTGCCGCTTCTCTTGACCCACCTCAATCCATTCATTCTTTCACCACACCCAGACAGTGATCATTTAATACATATGTTGAATCTCCGCACTTCCCTGTTTAAAACTTTCAAAGGCTTTCTATTTGGCTGAGCGTTTCTATTTGGTGTAGCTCAGCATTAATGATATTGCTCAGCATGCTTGAGGCCCTGGATATGATCTCCAGCACACCTGTGCCTGGCACAAAGGTGATACCACATAAATATCTAATGAATAAGATGGTTTATCATTAGCAGCACATTCTTTGCCTGTGAGATTCCTGGTTGCACATTTATTTAATTATTTAGGCTTCTTGACACAAGATCTTGTTACATAGCATAGGCTGGCCTTGAACTCAAGATCCTCCTGCCTCCTGAATATAGTCATTTCCCACCATACCTTGTACGCACTTTAAACTATTACTAGGTGTGGTGTGGCACACCTGTAATCCCAGCACTTGGGAGGCTGAGGCAGGATTGCCACAAATTTGAAACCACCCTGGACTGCACACTGAGATCCTGTCTCAAAAAAGTTAAAAAAAAAAAAAAAAAGAAACTCATGTCATTCTTGCTGGCAGAGTGTCGCCATGCTAGCGTCTAACAGGATGAGATGATGATCACTATCATTTAGAGTGCCCAGCATTGCACATTTCTTTCTTCTTCTTCTTCTTCTTCTTTTTTTTTTTTTTAGGCAAGGTGTCAATATCTATCCCTGTCTGGCCTGAACTGCCTCAGCCTCCTTGGTGCTAGAATTATGTGCCCCACCTGAACCAGCATTTGTTGACCACAGGGATACAAGTGTTTAGGGTAGAAGTAGTGAAGGAGAGAAAGACTTGTGCATTATGCAAAGATCTCAAATTTAGGAACAGATTCAGTCAGCCTCCGCTTATTACACTGAGATTCTCAATTAATAGGACACATCATAGAGAAGGAATTTGGAGTAAATCCTAATTTGTGCTTATGTCAACGAGGCTTGAACCCAGGGCCTTGCACATGTTCTGCAAACGCTCTACCACTGATCCACATTCCCAGCTGAAATTCTAAATTTCATTCCTGTGTAATCTTGGAAAGTGTCCAAACCAGAAAAACCACGGTTTCCTCTTCTTTAGTTAAAATGATTGGGCCGGGGGTTTAACTCAAGGGTCAGAGTTTAGCTCATTGGTTCAACTGCCTACCTCGCAAGTGCAAGGACCCGAGTTCGATTCCCTATACCAAAACAAAAAAACAAAACAAACAAACAAATAACAACAACCAAAAAAACGATGACCAGATGTCTGTATTTGAGATGTACAGAGGTTGTGGGAAATCCAAACACGGTGAGGTGGAGAGTGTCATACTTGAGGTTTTAGTTATGTAATAGTGATGAAAACGTTGAGGGTTTTTGAGAGCGTGCATTTTTAGCTTTTTAAAATTTTTGTTCTTGTTGATTAAAACACGGTTTCGCTAAGTAGTTCAGGCTGGCCTTGAACTCACTATGGCCTTGAATTCCTCAAACTCCTGTCTGGCCTCCTGAGTGCTAGGATTACAGGCACCACGCCCAGCACAGTTTTTGCTTTGAGCATATACGTATTCCAGTTTCTGTCTGCACTGATTCGCCGGTTTAAACCCACCTTAAATTTCTCGGTGAAAAGGTGCGAAGTTATTCTTGGAGCCTGGAAATATACTCGGTAAGTGCTGAGTAATTGTTTAATGTAGAATATGGTGGGGGATGAGGAACACAGTATAACAACAGCACCAAGAGCGCAGGTGCAGAATTTCCCCGTTTCCGTGGCAACGCCCCGCCTCCGCCCCACACGCACCCAGAAGCTAACTACAAGTCACACAACTACCCGCGGCTTTGCAGCCTCCAGGGGAGGAGCGGCACGAACCAACGCGGAACCGGCTTTTCTTCTTTCCTACAGCGTGATTGGTCCTCGGATCAGGGAAGCGACCAATGAGAACGCTCGGGAGAGCGGCGAGGCTAATATGGCTTCCAGCACCTGGTGACGGTTGAGGAAACTGAGTTAGAGCTCATGGAGAAACCCCAGAGCACTGAGGTGAGAGGGGGAGGACTTAATACAGTTAGAAAAGGGAATCCCGAGAGCCTCGCTCTGTGGGCCCGTCTTTAGGCCTCTTAACGACTCCTGGAGGGTGGAGGGTGGAAGGATTGGTAAACTGAGGTAGCGATCTAAAACGCGGCCAGGGGCGATCGGCGTTGCTTTCTGCTTCGTCCTGCGGGCTTCACGCCGGGCAAGCAGTTCGCGGAGGAAGAGCCACCCTCGCGTGGGGAAGGGAAGCTGGCTTCAGATCGGTGGGCTCCTGGTTCTTTGTCTTGCCTCTCTCGAGGTAGCGTTCCTTAGAGGTTGCGAGGCCTGTCACATGCAGGAGGGAGATGTAAGACCTAAAGTCTCACTTCCACTCCACGGAGCGTGAACAGCCGAAAGGCCTCCACGATGCTGGGCCCTAACACCCAGCGAGGCTCCGCGAACACGACAGAGAACCGAGAAACCCAGGAAGGAACACACCAGCCTAGATGGTAAAAGACCTTTATTAGTCTGGCCAGACGGCACTCCCGGAGCCGGGTGGCTCAGAGAGGCAACTGCTCAGGGGCTGAGGTACTTTTTATAAGGTTTTTCTAAACAAAGAGTCAGGGAATTCACAGAACAAGACTGCAAACACATTGCTTATCTTATGCAGGAAATGTTCTAGGGTCACCTTTTGTCAAACCATTTGCCCCTGGGCGGGCTGTTAACCAAGGTAGCAATTAGCATATGAAGAAGCACAGTCTGGTCTATTAGCATGGAGTCACTTTAGCCTATTCAAGTCTTACAATCCCCACTGATCTTAGGTAGAATCAAATCCTTGATTCATTGTTTTAAATTTTTAGCTAAGGGGTCACAGCAATTTGTAAAGGCATCTCTTAACAGTATGACACAATATAAGAGTCTATATCTAGATTGAAGTTCTCCTTCTTCAGCCGTTCGTAGACTCACCAGCTTCCGGTGTGGTGAGAGCAGGGCTTTGAGTGCGTTGTCTCTTGGCCTCCTAGAGTCAGATTCCCTGGAATTCTGTTTTACTCTAGAGTGGTGCAGCTGAGTTTCAGCTACCTTGATAGCTGTGGGAGTAACTATAAGTGACTCATATGGCCCTTTCTATATAGGTCAGAAAGGGGTCCTTTTCTAAATTTTAACATCACAGGGAGGTCTTTTTTATTTTTTAATTTACCCTTGAATATTTTTTTAAAATACTTGCACAATTTTAACCCCTGTGATTTTATACTGGATAAGCCCAAGAGAAAGTCTCTACAACCTCTGTTATAAATGCTGGC